AAGCCATACCCTGCAGCCACGCGCATACTCCACACTCGCACGCGCTCCTCTTTCTTTCAGATGTAAAACTGGTCTAGTAAGGCATACGAACTTATCACAAGAATATAGCAATAATACAAAAAGCGCACCGATAAACACATTTTTATGACTGCATCTTCTTTCTTTCTTTCTTTCTGATACGCAATCTTATTTCGTCTGAAGTTACTCTTTTATCACTTTATATCTACTAAGTAATAAAAGTCATGCTTGGGGCAATTGCTAATAGAACACAAATGAATAGAATATTTTTTCTGAGTGTTATCATCAACGCCACTTTACTCTTATTTACCAGTTACTTTCGAAGTAGGGGTGGCCCTTTAGCTTTATTTTACTTTAATAAAATGAAGTAAAGTAAAGTAAAGTGAAGTATCTCTTACTTTACCGAAAAAGTAAGACGAAGTAAAATAAGATAGAACAAAGTATGTAGTTGATGATTACTGATTTATTAATTCATTATCACATATTAATTACATTTCAGTACGTCAAAAGTTATGCTGGATTACGGATCGGAGGCATCGAAAAAATTTGAACCTAGTTTTATTATCTAGAGGGTCAGCATTGATCCCTAACTATTTTTCATAATTTTATTATCTACTTTATCACAACTGATAGGTGTGCACCAGTGCCAGTAACTGGGTGTCCAGTCGGACTGGGTCTCCAGTCCGACTGGGATCCAGTCACGGCTGGGTACTTAGTCATTTGATGTTTATTCCGCTAATTGATCAGTACTTCCCTCTTTTCTAAGGGTGTCGGTGTGGGTGTTGGTTTGATGTTGGTATGGGTGCCGTTATTGTCATTCTAACCATTCCCACAGCCAAACAACATCCACGCCCACATCCATCCAAATAACAACCACATCCACCCACCCATACCTAGGGATGCACCAATTCCAATTCCAATTCTTAGAATTGGTTGAAATTGGAATTGGCGGGAATTGGAATTGGTAGCAATTGGAATTGGTTGGAATTGGAATTGGTTGGAATTAGAATTGGAATTGTAGGAATTGGAATTGGTTCGAGTTCCCTTAAATTCGTACGGAATCCCAGGAATGGGTATGGAGTTGGTCTGAAACTGGCCGGACTTCGCTTGAGATAGCTATGATTCCCATGGAGTCCAAAGAATTATTATACAATTCGCCTGGAATTGGCTCGATTTCGACCGTTTTCCCTACAATTCGAATGCAATCCTAGAAATTTATATAGAATTGGTCTCAAACAGGCTAGGCTTGACATCAGCTGGCTACAATTCTTAGAGAATCCTACCAATTCATATGGAATTGGTCTCAAACAGGCTATGCTTGGCCTCAGCTGTCTACAATTCTCATCGAGTCATAGAAATTTATATGGAATTGGTCTCAAACAGGTTAGGCTTCGCCTCAGCTGGCTACAATTCAGATAGAAGCCTACAAATTTATATGAAATTGGTCTCAAACAGGCTAGGCTTGGCATCAGCTGGCTATAGTTCGTACGGATTTCTAGGAATTTATATGCAGTTAGTTTGCAACTGCCTAGACTTGGCATTCCCTAAAACTTAGAGCCAGCTGAGCCCAAGCCTAGCCCGTTTGAGGCCAATTTCATATAAATTTGACGGATTTTATAAGAATTACAGCCAGCTGAGGCCAAGCCTAGCCTGTTTGAGATCAATTCCGCATAAATTTGTAGGATTCTATAAGAACTGTAGCCAGCTGAGGCCAAGTCTAGCCTGTTTGAGACCAATTCCATATAAATTTCTATGATTCGATAAGAATTGTAGCCAGCTGAGGCCAAGCCTTGCCTGTTTGAGACCAATTTCATATAAATTTGTAGGCTTCTATCTGAATTGTAGCCAGCTGAGGCCGAGCCTAGCCTGTTTGAGACCAATTCCATATAAATTTCTATGATTCGATGAGAATTGTAGACAGCTGAGACCAAGCCTAGCCTGTTTGAAACCAATTTCATATGAATTGGTAGGATTCTCTAAGAATTGTAGCCAGCTGAGGCCAAGCCTCGTCTGTTTGAGACCAATTCCACATAAAGGAAGGGGGGCGCTAAGCGGACAAATCGCCCCCCTCATGAAAGTCCTTCTTTCCTATTCCAAATCATCACATTCTACCTCCCAAACTCAAAAAATGTTTGAATCCAGTCTGTCGGGCTTACTTAGCCAAAACACAGGGTTAGAAATTCCTCCCCGTTCACTATACAGATTTTTAGCCATTTCTACTCGTTTCTGCCGCCTGTGACAAATGTAGACATTTGGATCCACTTTCAAGTCAAGCTAAACCGATACAACTTTTTGAGCTCTACAATTCTAGCTTAGGAATGCCTAATGAAAAAAGTGGGAATTAGGGTCATATTAGGCAAAAACTGTCCGAAAGCTGGGATTTTCCACCACTTTCCCTTGTTTCTGACCTCTGTACCGGCTGTAGACATTTGGGTCCACTTTCGAGTCAAGCTAAACCGATACAAATTTTTGAGCTCTATAATTCTAGCTTAGGAATCCCTAGTGGAAAAAGTGGGTATCAGGGTCATATTGGACAAAAACTGCCCGAAAGGTGTGATTTTCAACATTTTACCTTGTTTCTGACCTCCGTGCCGATTGTAGACATTTGGATCCACTTTTGAGTCAAGCGAAACTGATACAACGTTTTGAGCTCTATAATTCTAGCTTATGAATGTCTTGTGAAAAATGGGTGTCAGAGTCATATTGGGCTAAAACTGGCGGAAGGCGATTAGCTTTTAATTATTTTAAGTGGTTTCGGGCCATAGTGCTAAATGTAGACGTTTGGATTCAGTTTGGAATCAAACCAAAACGGTACAACGTTTTGAGCTCTGCAATTGTGGCATAGGAATACCTAGGAAATGTTTGGGCGTGGTTTGCATTTTGTCTGTATGCACGCTTAGATGGCTATGTGCTCCGCTACGAAGTGTTTAACCCATTTTGGCGGGCGCATGGCACTAGTTGCTGTCTCCGCATATGTTCAATAGAATCAAGAATCAGTCGGAAGTGCGAAAATGAAAGAATATTATGAGGCGCGGGCCGATTGGAACACTCCGCTATTTCGCCTGTATTCACTAAGCTTGAAAATATCGTAGCATCGAAGAAAGGGTATATCGAATGACTTGCTCCATTCAAATAATGCGACTTTTTTTGAAAATCAGAATATCAGCGCAACCCCAAGTATCACCCTTGTACTCTCAGCTCCTACCATAACGCCGTACTGACACAGAGTCTCAACCCAAGCTGCAAAGGAGATCGTTTACTGGATTACTTCCGTGCACTCAACGACTTGTGTTGACTCCGATCCATTCCAGAGGGAGGAAAATCAGGGTTCCGCTGACTTGCACAGTCTGGGTGAACAGGCGAATTAACATGAGTCAGTGGAAGTCATACCGGAATGTCTTCCATGGATGTCGAATGACTCCGGGTGACTCGAACTGACTATCGATAACTACTGACAACTTCTGATAATTGCCGTGAGTTCCAAGACTGGTGCATACAGGAAGGCCCTGCTTACCTGCCTTGTCATCAATCTCAGCTTCACGTTTAGATGTACCCCGACCTTTAGCCATTTACGTCAGCTAGCTATGTTTACTCGATTTTTGCTAGTCGTACAACTAATTGGTGTCTGTGTACCTGTAACAGTAATAGAGACGGCATACTTTTTTCGAAACGTGCGAAAATTTTGATTCAAAACTTAATGGAAGACCGAGAGCTCCTTCAGTATAGTCTTTTCCAATTGCAGCACTTCCAGAAGATTCTATAACAATAGAATTAGGCGATATATCATATCGAGCACCATCGGTCACTGAAAAAGCACAAGCGGTTCGGTAATGTGCCATACTTCAAACCTAAGTATATACGTGAAGCCACAAACCACGTGCAAAATTTTCTCTACTCATTCTTATGTCACATTTGCAGAGCTGAGAAACCTTTATTGTTTTAGCTTCACTCGAAACTGGACCCAAATTTCTACATTAGGCACAAAGGCCAGAAACAAGGTAAAATACTGAAAAATCACAATTTTCAGCTAGTGTTTGACCAATAGGACCCTGATACCTACTTTTTTCACTAGACATTCATAAGCTAGAATTATAGAGCTCAAAAAGTTGTATCATTTTCGCTTGACTCGAAAGTGAACCGAAATGTCTACATTCGGCACAGAGGCTAGAAACAAGGTAAAATGATGAAAAATTACAGTTTTCAGCCAGTTTTCGCCCAATATGATCCTGATACTCCCTTTTTTCACTAGGGATTCCTAAGCTAGAATTATAGAGCTCAAAAATTTGTATCGGTTTAGCTTGACGCGAAAGTGGACCCAAATTTCTACGTTTGGCACAGAGGCCTTAAACAAGGGAAAACGGTGGAAAATCCCAGTTTTCGGACAGTTTTTGCCTAATATGACCCTAATTCCCATTTTTTTCATTTGGCATTCCTAAGCTAGAATTGTAGAGCTCAAAAAGTTGTATCGGTTTAGCTTGACTCGAAAGTGGATCCAAATGTCTACATTTGTCACAGGCGGCAGAAACGAGTAGAAATGGCTAAAAATCTGTATAGTGAACGGGGAGGAATTTCTAACCCTGTGTTTTGGCTAAGTAAGCCCGACAAACTGGATTCAAACATTTTTTGAGTTTGGGAGGTAGAATGTGACGATTTGGAATAGGAAAGAAGCGCTTTCATGTGGAGGCCGATTTGTCCGCTTAACGCCCCCCCCCCTTCTTTGTAGGATTCTATATGGATTATAGCCAGCTGAGGCCAAGCCTAGCCTGTTTGAGACCAATTCCGTATACATTTCTATGATTTGATAAGAATTGTAGCCAGCTGAGGCCAAACCTAGCCTGTTTGAGACCAATTCCATATGCATTTCTATGATTCGATAAGGATTGTAGACAGCTGAGGCCAAGCCTTGCCTGTTTGAGACCAATTCCATATAAATTTCTGGGATTCTCTAAGAATTCTAGTTAACACAAGCCAAGTCTAGCCAGTTAGGCCAATTCCATACGAGTTTTAGGTAACTCGAGCCAATTGTAACCAATTTCAATTCCAATTCGAACCAATTCTGACCAATTCCAATTCCAATTCCAACCAATTCCTACCAATTCCAATTCCAGTTCCAACCAATTCCAATTCCAGTTCCAACCAGTTCCATTTCCAGTTCCAACCAATTCCAATTCCAGTTCCAACCAATTCCATTTCCAGTTCCAACCAATTCCAATTCCAGTTCTAACCAATTCCAACCAATTCCAAGCCAAGAAGTGGAATTGGAATTGGTGCATCCCTACCCATACCTACACCCTAGCCACACCCATACCCTGAAGACATAAAATTTATTTATACTATTATAAATTATAACGATTGATATATAGAAATATATGATTAGCCAATGGATTCAGTGTTATAACTTATATCAGTACCTCAACAGCCTAAGAATCACTGTATGACAATATACTAGAAAAGAAGAAAGTACTACTCGATTAATCGACTAAAGATCAAAGAACTCAGTACCCAGTCGGACTGGACACCCAGTCCGACTGGGATCCAGTTCATTAGTCAGGACTGGGGCTGGTGCATCCCTAAATCACAACTCAATTTTCCATATTTAGTGTCCCCTTCAGGTATCGAAAGAAAAATTTTGTTATTATTCTATTACGAGTCTTTATATTTCAATAGTATCAAGTGTGCTGATTACAAATACCTCTTTTGTTTTCAAAAGTGTTTAGATAATAAGAAATATCAGGAGTACTATATGAAAGCCTTAAAGACTAGCTTTTGACCAGAAATTTCATTAAAATACGACCAGATTCGATTCGTCGAAATGATAATAGGGTTAACTTGACTTAAAATTCGTATTGTGACAACACAGCCATTGAACAAACCTTTCGGAACTAATTTTTATGAAATATGGATTATTTAATGGGTTAGCCTAAGGATGACTCTTGAGTTAAGCCACAAAATCTATCTGAAACATGTTATGGATAGGTCAGAGATAGAATTATATAAATGGCCTGCTCAAGTCACTGGTTTGGATTACTGTTGACCAGAGCTCCCGATTAGGTGGGAGGGAAGAGCTTCCTTCCCCCCTCCAAAATTTCAGACTCTCTGCCATAATTTTTGATGACACTTTCTTCGAAAATTTTAAAGTTTAGTTCAGTAGAAAGCTCCTGCATTTGCTGGAATAAAATTAAACCAGAGATACTTTCCGCCAAACTTCTCGCCGAAAGTAGATTATTTCTGCGAAATTTCTGACAGAAACTCGACTATTGCTGCAAAATTTCGCACAGAAAGTTGACCCTATCTCTGCAGAATTTCTCGCAGAAAGTCGACTTTTTTTTGCAAAACACCGGCTTTCTGCGAAAGAACTATGGACTTTCTGCCAAAGGATGGAGGTGGATTTCCTAGCAAAATTGGCCCTATTTGAAAATGCTAACAGAATACCCACTAATTATATATGATGACGAAGGTGATTAAGTCCGCTAAATATCTAAACTACAGTTTTGCTCATAATAGCGATTTTCCTACTAAATTTACCACACATATCATAGAGGGTATATAGGATGATATGAGATATAGCATACACAACAGCTCATGCTTGGCTTGTATAACTTCGATCTCTATTATTTCAAGAGACCTCATCACCATTTTTTCAGCATATATAGATCTTAGTATATCCTTCGAAACTACCCGAATGTGTCCTTTCCCAAAGCTTGCTTTAAATGTCTTGGTAATACTACATTGCTTACGATAGATCATTTCTATAGGGACTCGCAAGGCAATTCACCTCGATCTCGACTATTGCAATACATCTCACCTCCATTTTTTCACTATACGTAGACCTTGGAATATCCTCAAAAATTATTCGAACATGGCCTTTTTCAAAGCTTGCCTAATGCATTTTGGTAATACTAGACTCATCCCAATAGATCATTTCTATAGGGATTGGGTAGATGATTCACTTCGATCTCGACTATTGCAACACATCCCACCTCTATTTTTCAGTATAAGAAGACCTTGGAATATCCTCAAAAACTACCCGAACATACCCTTTTTGAAAGCTTGCCTAATGCATTTTGGTAACACTAGACTGATTCTGGTAGGTCATTTCTATAGGGATTGGGCAGATGATTCACTTCGATCTCGACTATTGCAATACATCCCACTTTCATTTTTCCAATATAAGTAGACCTTGGAATATTCTCAAAAACTACCCGAACATAGCCTTTTTGAAAGCTTGCCAAACGTATTTTGGTGATACTGCAGTGATCCCGATAGGTCATTTCCATAGGGATTCGGGATATGATTCACGTGGATCTCCACTATTGCAACAGATCCAAGCTCCATGAATTCTGCATAATGAGGCATAATTATATTCTCCAAAAATTCCTGAACAATGACTTTGAAATACCTATCGAGTACCCTGTTTTCTGACGATTTAAAGATAATTATACGATCAAGTATGCATTATCGACATAACTTACCTTGTTATCATGGAAATACTTTGCTTCTCTGGTTGTGAAGGGTTCAATAAATTTTTGCTGTTCGGATAGTTTTCATATGAAACTAGGTGAATAATTGCTTGCCTTGCTGTTGTGTGTCTCCCATATAAGGAATGTAATTTATCAAATTACAGACCTGAAGATTCTTGTACGAATGATGATTACTAATCGTATACATTGTAGACTACTAAAATATGCTACAACAAGAATTCAAAGAAGAAACTTTAATACAATTGAATTAATGATCTTGTGGTCTGTATATATTGCAGGGATATGCTGTGTTTCTTTTTATTTGGAACTTAGTAGTGACTGAATATATCTTTGAAATATGTCGCGAAAGGAGATGTAAAATACTGATGGCGGTGGTATGATTTGCAATAGTGGAGATTGAAGTGAATCACCTTCTGAATCCCGATAAAAATGACCTATCAGGGTCGCTGTGGTATTAACAAAATACATTAGGCAAGCTTTCGAAAAGGCCATGTTCGAGTAGTTTTTGAGGATATCTCAAGGTCTACTTATACTGGAAAAATGGAGGTGGGATGTACTGCAACAGTCGAGATCGAATCGAATTATCTGCTCAATCCCTATAGAAATGACCTATCGGGATCACTGCAGTATCACCAAAATACGTTTGGCAAGCTTTCAAAAAGGCTATGTTCGGGTAGTTTTTGAGAATATTCCAAGGTCTACTTATATTGGAAAAATGAAAGTGGGATGTATTGCAATAGTCGAGATCGAAGTGAATCATCTGCCCAATCCCTATAGAAATGACCTACCAGAATCAGTCTAGTGTTACCAAAATGCATTAGGCAAGCTTTCAAAAAGGGTATGTTCGGGTAGTTTTTGAGGATATTCCAAGGTCTTCTTATACTGAAAAATAGAGGTGGGATGTGTTGCAATAGTCGAGATCGAAGTGAATCATCTACCCAATCCCTATAGAAATGATCTATTGGGATGAGTCTAGTATTACCAAAATGCATTAGGCAAGCTTTGAAAAAGGCCATGTTCGAATAATTTTTGAGGATATTTCAAGGTCTACGTATAGTGAAACAATGGAGGTGAGATGTATTGCAATAGTCGAGATCGAGGTGAATTGCCTTGCGAGTCCCTATAGAAATGATCTATCGTAAGCAATGTAGTATTACCAAGACATTTAAAGCAAGCTTTGGGAAAGGACACATTCGGGTAGTTTCGAAGGATATACTAAGATCTATATATGCTGAAAAAATGGTGATGAGGTCTCTTGAAATAATAGAGATCGAAGTTATACAAGCCAAGCATGAGCTGTTGTATATGCTATATCTCATATCATCCTATATACCCTCTATGATATGTGTGGTAAATTTAGTAGGAAAATCGCTATTATGAGCAAAACTGTAGTTTAGATATTTAGCGGACTTAATCACCTTCGTCATCATATATAATTAGTGGGTATTCTGTTAGCATTTTCAAATAGGGCCAATTTTGCTAGGAAATCCATCCCTATCCTTTTTAGCCTCCTCCCACTCCCAAAAACAATCGGGAACTCTGATGCTGACCCATAGTATCACTACCCCAATGGGTACCCGTACCAATCCAACCCAGTCGGCATCTCTGAGCCACATAGGCCGACACAGTTTTGTGTTAATTTCAGATATGACACTTGTTTGAAGTCAAATGGGATTTTTCTATTCAAAAACCACAGAATATTAGTCAGAAAAGACGCAAATAGAGTCTCAAGGATAGGATTTTGAGCAAAAGTACTTTACTAGATATGAATTTTCAAGTCGAAAATAGTGTCATCTGAAAGGGCACATTCAGTTGCATACTTAGTAAAGGAATCTAACCACTGCGTCTGTAGAACCTTTAATTTCGTAAGGCTGAAAAAATACAATGAGAGATAATATGACCCAATCAAGACGATATTTGCCAATTATCGATAGAAAAAATCGAATATTCAACAGGTTCTTATACTCTCTGATAGAGAAAAAAATTCTGCATAACATGAAACTATTTTTGACGAAATAGAACCGTATTCTAATGAAATTTCTGGTCAAAAGCTAGTTTTTAAGGCTTTCATATAGTACTTCTGATATTTCTTATTATCTAAACACTTTTGAAAACAAAAGAGATATTCGAAATCAGCGGACTTGATACTATTGAACTATAATGACTTGTAATAGAATAGTAACAAAATTTTTTTTCGATACCTGAAGGGGGCACTAAATTTGAAAAACTGAGTTGTGATAAAGTAGATAGTAAAATTATGAAAAATAGTTAGGGATCAATGCTGACTCTCTAGATAATAAAACTAGGTTCAAATTTTTTCGATGCCTCCGATCCGTAATCCAGCATAACTTTTGACGTACTGGAATGTAGTTAATGTGTGATAATGAACGAATAAATCAATAATCATCAACTACATACTTTACTCTATCTTATTTTACTTCGTCTTACTTTTTCGGTAAAGTAAGAGATACTTCGCTTTACTTTACTTTTCGGGTAAAGTAGACCTACTTTACTCTACTTTATTAAAGTAAAATAAAGCTTAAGTGCCACCCGTATTTCGAATTTTATGGTGTATATATAGAAGCTACTAAACAGTCAGATACGACATCTATGTTATACATGTCTTGTTACTATACAATCATAATTATTTAGTCTGGTATAAATAAATACCCATGTCCACGTGAGCGCATCGGTACGCGTGACATCACGTACGACAGAAACGCGTGACGAACATAGACGTGACGCCACGCGTTACGGTAGCTGTACAAAGCGTCACGCCATGCGTACGAAGCTAGCACAGAACGTGATGTCATGCGTACGAAGCGTACCAGCGTGATG